GGGGAAAAGTTCACAGAATACCTTGGAAAAGTTTAATGACAAAAAATACCAATATAAATTTTTCATTTACTGGTCTCAAGTGGAGTGTGCCTTTTAAAATTATTTTTTGATTCAATTGTAACCAAAAATTTATTTTAAGTCAAGGTGGAAATTATAGACAGAGTTTGTGAGTTTTGAGTAGATCAAACAATATAGGAAACAGATACACTAGCAGCCTATAAGAATGATTTGTGTGGACTTCAAATGTATCTTCTTACAAATGAACAGGCACCTTAATTTGGTTTTATAGATAATATGCCTGTCAAAATTAAGCATGCTGAAAAGGAGGGTTTGAGGTTGAATCATGACATGGGGCAAGACCTCTGGTCCTCTGATACTAATCTATATATACCTACTGAAAGGTCCTGATGAGAATATGGCCCTGAACTTGTTCTTAGGTTTTGCCTCTAGGCAGCCCAGAGATTTAGGCCCTGAGTACAGACCACATATTTTTATTAGTATTAACTACATAGTGACTGTAAGTTTTGATTTGTGAGTAGGGAAAATGAAGAACTATTTTCATATGGGCAATTTAGAAGAAGATAGGTAATGACCAAAAAATTCTTGAAATAACCATTCATCTAAAGTGAAAATTGAATATTCAGTAACAAAAATACTATGGACATGTCACATTTTCAAAATGTTTTCTTGTTTTTAAAATCATATTAGTTGACAGCAAAAAATAAGCATGAAGTCAAAAGTCTAACAATCAGGTAATGATTTATTAGAATATGGTACATCTACTTGAGAAAGTGCATCACAGAAGTTAAAATAAACATTAAGAAGACCATTTAGCAGGCTTGAGAAATGTGTTTAATATAAACCAAAGAGAATTAACTAGAATACATGACTGTACATATATTATGCTTTCAATTAGGTAATAAATATGGATGCTTACAGAAATAAGATTAAAGGGTTATAGTAGTTGTTTTAGGGTCTAAGATTGAGAGTTATAGTTGTTTTCATGTATTTTTTCCAAAATGTTACCTTATTATTGCTAAAATTTAATAATAACAAGCTCTTTATCTTAAAGAGCACACAATTATATTTATTTTCTATGTTAATATGTCATTAAATTTCTTTTGTCCAAAAAATAGTTATTCTTTAAGAACATAGATGAAATCAAATATCCTTATTGTTCCTAGAGACAAGTTTTGTCTATTTTATCAAGTAAATTAATATTAAAATTAGTATTGTTAGGTTTTAGCATTTGCTAGATAATAAAATTACATATCTCAGATATTATTTAAAGCAAACAAAAGTACGAACAAGAAAAAGGTACCTGGAAAGTAGAAATGTTTACTAAATAAAACAAATTAAATATTCAAATTTCCTCCATGGATTGCTTTTATTAAAATCTGAGTGCATTTATTTTATTTACTACTTGATGGTAAATCTTTTAGAGTTTTCATTTTATAGGGGATCTTAGTGAAGGAAGAATTATGCATTTGGCGTCATTATAAACCATTATCTATTTGATGACTAAGTAAGAGGGAGAAAATTATTCTGACCAAGAAATATTAGGAAAAATTAAGGATTATTAAAGGAAAGGAGAAAGAATATAATTCTAATAGGACAAGGAACAAAAAGAACTAAGAGGGAGGAAGAAACTTAAAGCTTTTAACTGACCTTTGAGATTTAGATTCCATTTAGCTCTGTTGGACTGGCAACTTTGTTGTCCGTCTATAATCTTAAGTGGACTATCTCCTTAGTCTCAACACTATTTGCCAATATAATGGTTTGTGAGGGTGAGATTTCTTTGATTTATTGTAGACAGAATTCTGATGAGAAGGCTTGTCTCTTTCTAGGATGCCTCCCACCTACTTTTCTCTGCATTTGGAAGAACCTCATCTTGCAAAACCAGAACACCTGTCCCTCTCTTCCCATCCTTGTCTTGCTATGTCTTTATGCATTAGGACAACAACCAGTCTTCCATCCTTTTATTTCTGATAAACTCAAGGGTGTCCAATGAAGTTTTTAAAAGTCTCCATTTCCAGCCAGGCGCAGTGTCTCACACCTATAATCCTAGCACTCTGGGAGGCCGAGGTGGGAGGATCGCTTGAGGTCAGGAGTTCAAGAGCCTGAGCAAGAGCAACACCTCATCTCTAAAAATAGAAAAAAAATAGCCAGTCATGGTGGTATGCACCCGTACTCCCAGCTACTTGGGAGGCTGAGGCAGGAGGATCACTTGAGCCCAGAATTTTGAGGTTGCTGCGAGCCAGGCTGACACCATAAGCTAACACCATAGCACTCTAGCCCTGGCGACAGAGCCAGACTATGTCTCCAAAAAAAAAAAAAAGAAAAATAATCAAAAAGTCTCCTTCTCCATTAAATATTGTAAAATTAAAAATTATGGTCTCCAGTCAAGTACCCACACCTTTCTTTAATTTTGTCTTTGAAATCCATATCACATTAAAATATTTAAGTTCTTAGGCTGCTTATCTTCCCATCAGAGTGGGAGAAAGAATTGGTAAAATTTACCTGATTCCTGAGTAAGAAATGAGTCATCTTCCTTTGAAGCAACTCACCAAAATATTGAGAGAACCAGGTCCTCTCCCCACAGGAATTTATACCAAGGGAAACAACATACACTAATGTTCCTAAAATGTATGGCCCACATTAAAATATGTCACAAGTACAGTGAGCAAATGCAGCTCTCTTTTCTTAATATAAGATCAGGCCATGTCAACATTGAAAGCTTTGTATTATTAGTACTTAGCTGGGAGAAGCAATAGAAATATTGGTAAACATTCTGGTCTCCTATAAAATAGTACTGAATTACGTTATAATTAAAGTAGCAATGAATATGTTGACTCTACTTGGCCTGTATTTTCACTGTAACATTCTAACATCATTATACATTTTAATGGTGCTTTAGAGATTTTCTTACCCCAATTTACAGATGAGCTTATTTAATGAACACGTTCAATTGTACATTGGTGGTCTAAGGAAATGGTCCCTCAAAAAGAGCTTGCCTTTCATCTCAAGTGACAACTTCTATCCTGACAAAAGCAATCGATCGCCATGTTTTTTTTTTCTCCCTCAATTGTTTTGGGTGGTTTTGCTCATGCAAAGTGCCTTTGTATTTTGGTTCGCTGACTTAAGGTGTTCTGTGAATTCAACTTATAAATAACTAATGCAGACCTTGTTTTGTAATTGAAATAAGGGGCAGGTTTAGTTAGCCCTTTTGATTTCCAAGCCCCTAGTGGTTTGGACGATATTCATAACCCTTTTCAACCTCACCCTGCCTGTACTTTTTGAAGTAAACTATCATGTGTTGACATCCATGACCTCTTCTTTGCCAGAAGTTCTTCAGCTCTAATGGACTTTGCTTATTCTCAGAGGATGGCACCTCTCTTGAACTCTGTCTCATTTCATTTCTTTTTCCTTTCCAGACATCTCTTAGTTTTTCCCCAGCATGTTCTAAATCATTTTTGAACATTTTAGCTCTCTAATGTAGGAAATATTCCTAGTCCTAAGGAGTTCTCCTCGAAATTTGGTTTAAATAGTGCTTTTCTCTCCTACGGTATGATAGTTTCAAATGCTTCTGGATGAATATTTGGAAACTAGCCTGTCTTAATTTTTATTATATTTCATATATTATTTCCCAAAAAGATATTATTACATTTTTATCTATGTGTAAACAAGATGTAATTTTGTGAAATAGCCCCTTATAGAAGTTGTTTTTTTATTATTTTCTTCCTGTTATAGTTTTCTCTTTTCTTACCTTCATTGGATTATGTTATTGAGTATTTTAAAGCAATTGCAAGGCCATAATGTATATAATGGTGTTGCAATAAAATATGTAACAATCATAATTCTAAGTCAATAATGCTGTTTTTTCTTCAGTGGACAATATAATTATACATCCAGGTCACTAGCAAGTAGTTTTATTTATTTTTTTTTTTTGCAAGTAGTTTTAAAAATAAGCAAATATATTCCAGTATTTTTTCTTTGATTGCTTCTCCAATGTGCTGTCATAAATTTGTTGTATTTGTGTGTGCAGTAAAAATTATATGAAGCTTTCGAATCTATGAATTACATATTTATATAAAAGAGTTTAACTCTTTTATATAAAAGAGTCTTATACTTTGATTCCTTTTGTTGTTTAATGGAAATACATTGATTGTGGTGAATGTCATTGTTCATTTTTTAGCAAAAGTATAAATTTTATTGATTTTTTATTAAAGAGATTTTTCAATAGCTAACTTTAAATATATCTCTAGTCTCAATTTGCACATATAGCGAATGGTCAGAATAATAAAAAGATATCATTATAAATACCTCCTACCAGTACTTTAGCCAATGAAGTTTTGTCCTCATGCTAGCTTCAGGTCATTCAAACTTAGTCTTTTTTCTACAGTCAGAGGAGCCTTTTTATTATTTAAAAATTTCTCAGAGAAGGTGCAGCACCATATTGATTTGTCTTTCATAGTTGTTTTCTTTAATCTGGTTTTACTTCAATTTTTTTTTTCTTTCTGAGCTCTGTTTTCTGATGAGACAATAATTTTCTTTCTTTGTTCCTGATTCTGCATGATCTTTTTCTCTTTGCAAACTCATGTGCCAATAAATATCTGATGTTTTAGAGGAAGATTTCTGTTTATAAGAAGGAAAAATCTGTTTATCCAAACAAAGAAATGTACTTGGGGGAAAAAAAGGTCAGCATAATTTCACAAATTGCATGATACTATTAGAGCAAAGCTCCCGTCCTTTCATATATTACAAATGAATTCATATTGGGGATCAGATTCTAATGTCGAGAAAACAGAAACTATGTTACCATCCTATTTTCTTAGTGAAAAATTAATCTGCCAATAAACATATGCATCTTAATGGAGAACAAAAGCAACAAAAAAAAATTATTGAAATTTTCTATCAGGACATTCTCTTAATCATCTCGCACATTTGATAGAACGCGTAGGCATCAAACCAACTCTCAGCCCCTTTTGTGCTTTGTAAAGGTTATTTGACTACCATGGACGTGTGCCTCCACCTCCTCGCGCAGTCATCCCACTAAAGCGTCCCAGAGTGGCTGTCACAACAACTCGCAGGGGGAAAGGAGTCTTTTCCATGAAAGGCGGATCAAGATCTGGTGCTAGTGGGTCTTCATCGGGCTCTAAATGTAAGTAATGTTCTTCATTTTATTTCTCTTTAAAGAAGGGTGAGGTTAACTATAATTTCACGAATCCCTGTATTCAATAAATCAGGTAATTATAAAGTACCTGATATGTACAAAATTAATTAGGGAATGATAAAATGGATAAGAAATGGTCTGTGCTTTCCACCACACTGTGTTGCAAAAGGGGAGACAGACAAAAACATGACTAACAAAAACCCAGGACCAATTTGCAAAGTATTTCATCAGAGCAAATAATGTGTTCTCATCTCACTTAGCTTGTAACATGTTCAACTCCTGAGAAAAATATGTTGCTTTTAATGGAGAAATGATTTCACTTCAAAAGGGAGTGCATTTACTGTCTTCTCAGAGAAACATTATGCAAAATTAATTCATGTTTTGAATATTTGAGCAATTCAGAAAGGTAAACCACAGAGATGTTAAAAGCATAACTTAGTATATTATTCTAAATTATGAAATATACCATAACTGAAAACATATATAATATAATAAAAATACAATTAATATTTACATATTTTACATTAATTAGTAAAAAGTAGAGATACAAACTTTCTAACTAAACACACTGCTAAATTATTATATAGACTGATTCAGAAAAAAATATCTAATATGTTATTAGAATATATTTCCTGGCTGGGTGCAGTGGCTGGTGCCTGTAATGCTAGCACTCTGGGAGGCCAAGGCAGGAGGATTGCTTGAGCTTAGGAGTTCAAGACCAGCCTGAGCAAGGGTAAGACCTACACTCATGTGCACATGTGGAAATAACATTTGTCAGAAATCAAGCAGGTGGAGGGGGAGGAGAGGATGGGTAAATTCACACCTATCGGGGACAATGCGCACTATCTAGGGGATGGGCAAACATGACTTTTGCTCAAATGGTACAAAAGCAATTTATGTAACCAAAACATTTGTACCCTTGTGATATTATGAAATAAAAATAAATAGATAATTGTTTTAAAAATTGTTTTGAAAGAACAAGAAAAAAAAAAAAAAGAAACACCGGAGGCTGAGAAGTACTTCTGGCCAAAGATTTAATTAAAATTTCAAACTCAAATCATGAATGAAAAAGTTGAAGAAGTATAAATATACTAAAAGAAAAACCATATAAAGAAAAATGTATTAATGTGATAATTTGCCAAAGATGAATACTGATAAGCATTTAAATTTAGATTGCCACTAGTTGTTTCTCTCTCTTTTTGAATCAACATGAACTAAAACTATAAGCAACTTGCCCTGTACTACATTATGCAGTCAAAAGATAATGAAGATGTGATATTGCAGATGAACATTTTACAAAAGAGATGTGATTATCTGCGAGCTTTGAGCTGTAGTTTCTTGGTGGAAAAACCAGTACCTCTGGAAAAAAAATTCTATCAGATCAATTTCTTTAAACCATTAATTTAAATGTAAATGTTCAACAAGAAAGACCCTAGTAAGTTTGAATGCCTTTGAGACCTGTCTATGTACTTTCAGGGACAGAACAGGTGACAGACTAATACAAAATCCCTGAAGCATCTAACAAGAAATTAAAGACAGCTCAATTAAAGTTAAGACTGAAAACTTATCCCCACCACCAAGAATGTTTTGTTACATTGGGTCCTTCCCCTAGAAAACATGTGACTGAGATATGGAGATAAAGGATCAACCAGAGAAATAATGTTAATATTCAACAAAATATCATTAAACATTCCCATCCATCCATTATCTTGGACAAAGTATATTTCTGTTTTGAGGGTTTTAAGAGAGAAAGTACTATTGGCCAGAGAGGTTAGAGAAGGCTTAATAGAGGATTTATGAATTGAGTTTAGAAAAGTAGGTGGATTTGTAAAAAATTCTCAGTGAAGTGCTACCTGATCAAAATGATATTTGAGGAAATTTATATGACAGGTATATTAGTGTGTAGAGCTGTCTGGGTGGCTTAAACAACAGAAATTTATTTTCTCATGGTTCTGAAGGCTGGAAATTAGAAATCAAGGTGTTAGAAGGTTTAGTTCCCTCTGATGGCTGTGAATGAAGGCTCTGCCTCAGGCCTCTCTCCCTGACTTGCAGATGAACATCTTCTCTCTATGCCTCACACAGGCTTGCCTCTGTATGTATCTTGCCCAAATTTCCTCTTCCTGTAAGGACAAGTTTAGACCCCTCATGCTACAAAAGCATCATCTGCCCTCTAACTCTAAGACAATTGTTCATTTTCCTATTAAGACTTAAGCTCTTCTGCTTCATGTTACAGTTTTTTTATACTCATCTAATCTTTCCATTTTCAGTTACAAATCCACTCAAGTTAGTTATGCTTTGAACAGAATACATTCTAAAATATTTGTGGAATGTAGCACCACTATTTGTTTTGCTTTTTGTATTTTGCTTTTTTTTTCATACATTTTACAATTGACTATGAACCACCTCCTTAAAATCCTACAGCTCAGGGAAAATTTTTTTAATTTAACTCATTTAAAATACTTTTAAATGAGTTTAAAAATATGTTAAGTCAGCGAAACAAGGGGACAAATTCTGGCCTACACTCTAGGGTCTAAAATAAATCAGAGTTTGACATGTATTTTCAAGCTCTATGATTTGAGATCTGCTACTTCCTTTACTTAGAAGATTGACCCTTTTTGCTCACTCAAATCTAAAGTATCTTTCCAGTCATAGCTCAAGAACCCATTCGTTTAACTATTTTCACAATCATTTATCAAACCCCATCAAAACTAATTGATCTTTTCTCTTTGCCCACATAGATGACCCAAGTTCAATTAATCGGCACCTACCACATTGGCAGGTACTAATTTTCCAAAAATGAAATGGACAATACCCCTGCAGAACTAATGTTCCATAGACAAAATCTTTCATTTTTGGGCTCTTACAATCTGATGGGGGGACCAGAAAATAGGATATAATTTCAGTATCAAGTGATTGGACCTTTTCACTAATTCCTCCATTATGTTATGTATTTTATTTTCATACATACTATAATAAATTACTTACATTTTTTTTCACTAATTATAAACTCTATGAAACCAAGGAGGTATTTCACTATGATGAGAAGCTCATGATTCCGGGGGGGTGGGGGTGGGAAGAAGTATCCAACAAACATAGACCATGGCTTTGGCATCAGGCAGCCCACCCTAGACTCAATTTGGTTGCCTGTTTACTAAGCAATCTGAAACACATTACTTAACTCCTCTAATTTTTATTGTTCTGATCCATAAAGTAAATTTAATAACAATGCTTTACATATTTATCATAAGGATTAAATGAAATAACATATGTGCAGTTCCTAGTGAAATGCCAGATGAATGGATGCATATAGTAGGCAATTAATGAATGGTTATTTAATAAAGTGCACTCATTCTCCATTTTATTTTCTCTTTCTATATAGAAAGAATGGGTATCGATGTATGCAGGCATAGATATTACAAATACATACATGTGCACATATATGTAATTTCTTTTACTAAGAAATTCCATCCATGGCAAGGGGATGACCAGTTGCTCCAATTTATTTTAGCAAAATCCTATAAATGATGGCTTTTGAAAACTATTTGCAAGACTGTCAAATTAGCTTCTGCATATTAAATTAGCTTTAAACATATGAATTAAAGAAAAGGAACAGACAGAATGAGAAGCAAATGAATCAAAGTGACAGTAATAAAGATTTCCAGAAAACCACATTATAGAAATCAGTGGTCTTTATTTTTTTCTGAATGTGACTGAATTAAATACTACGGTTCTTTAACTCATAGTGAAAGAAAGAACTAAAACTGAAAATCATATCTTTCATATCAAGTGAAGGCTCATGGTCCTATAAGGAGTATAGGGTTTATAGTCAGAAGATCTAGCTCTGAGACTGAACTTTACCCATGCAAAGTATGTGACTTTGGGAAAGTCATGTAAATCATCAGATTCTCCACTTCCTTATTGATGAAGTACTGTATATAAAAGTGGTTTATAGGCCAGCCGGGCGCAGTGGCTCACACCTGTAATCCTAGCACTCTGGGAGGCCGAGGCGGGTGGATTGCTCAAGGTCAGGAATTCGAAACCAGCCTGAGCAAGAGCGAGACCCTGTCTCTACTATAAATAGAAAGAAATTAATTGGCCAACTAATATATATTTAAAAAACTAGCCGGGCATGGCGGCGCATGCATGTAGTCCCAGCTACTCAGGAGGCTGAGGCAGCAGGATTGCTTGAGCCCAGGAGTTTGAGGTTGCTGTGAGCTAGGCTGACACCATGGCACTCACTGTAGCCTGGGCAACACAGTGAGATTCTGTCTCACATTGTGGTTTATAAATTTAAACAACAACAACAAAAAAAGTGGTTTATAAACTTATTTCTATGCAAATTATATTTGTTATTTTATTTTTGATGATTAAATAATGTATCAAGGACTGGGGAGAATAAATAAAAAGTGTAACATAAATTAATGTGAATTACTGTTAGAGTCCATATAATCACATTTTTAAATCTTGTAAATCAGGGGTTCCCAACCTATGGTGAGTTGTATAATTATTTCATTATATATTACAATGTAAAAATAATAGAAATGAAGTGCACAATAAATGTAATGTGCTTGAATCATACCCAAACCATCCCTCCCCTCCAGTTCATGGAAAAATTGCCTTCCACGAAAACGACCCCTGGTGCCAAAAAGGTTGGGGACTGCTGTCCTTAATAGTTGATAGGGAGCATAGTGTTGGTGAGGGAGGGTATATAATAATCTAGGACAAGTTTTCTAAGGCTTGGCACTATTGGCATTTGGGGTCAGATAATTCTTTGGTGTGGTGTGAGGGGGCTATCGTGTGCATTGTAGGATTTTTAGCAGACCAAATGCCCACTATATACCAGTAGCACCACCCCCTCTAAGATATAACAAACAAAAATGTCTCAAGATATTGAAAAATGTCCCCTGTAGGGCAAAAGCAACCTTTGTTAAGAACCACTGATCTAGACAGTTAGCTGAAGCTTCTTTATTTGTCCTGAATAGAATTGACCCAAAGGTGATTAAAATAAATTGAAATATTTTTCACCACATAAATCAGAGATGCACACACTTTTTGATATAGACAGTTGGTATCATCCCATGTGCCTAATATCCTTTTTGGATTATATCTCATGTCACAGCAGAGGCACAATCATTTTGTTGACTGTATCAGAATGTAATAACATTTATCACCAAATCAATGAACTGTATAGAGAGAGCAGGTCTGAAATGATTTAATATGATTTCTTTTTTTATATAAAAATACTACAGTAATAGTTTAGGAAAAATATTTAAGATTATCTGTGTGATGCAACCTGATTCTTAGTTTCTAAGTGTCATTATTGCCTAAAAACAAGCTAAAATAATTTATCCTAGGAACTTTGTAATTTTTTTATTTATCACTTCACTGATCTTGTTTAATAATTCTAAACATAAGCCCTATAATCACCCATAGGAAAATAAGTTATACTCAACAGGACAATGAAAGATTTTTATTATGACAGTATGTCTGCTTTTGTCTACAGCTTTTTTTTTGCAAAGTTTTTTTGTGGTAGAATTAATCTAGAGAAAGAGCAAAAGACATTTTTCTTTTGAAGATAGCATTACTGATGTCTTCTAAAATACCGTAATATATTTACGTACGCTCAACTACTGGAGAAGAGTAAGTAAAAACAGGGGCTTAATGTAATCCACTGTACAGTAGAGAAATTGTTAACAGTAGGGGAGAAAAGTAGAAAATGAAAGCAGAAAAGACAGACAGAGAGGGAGCTCCTTTCCAGGAATTCCATCTAGAAACCAGGTGTAATAGCACAAAACCATACCCCATCTCCAGATAATGACTCTGCCCAAAGAAAGGTAGGAAAGATTACCAACCAGCAGACCACGTGAGGGGCAAGCCTTTTCCAAGGTCAGCACTGAGGTACCAAAGTGTGATAAGGAAACGACTTCCACAATTACTCAAGAAGCAGTCATGTTATTTCTAGGCCCCCTTTGAAGGGCCGTGATGAGCATTTGCTGCTCTCCATGCTAAGAGAAGAACTGGACAATCTGCACAGGGCTAGAGACTCAGTTTAACATTTCCTGGTAGGGACCAGGAAACAACTGACAGAACCTCTCCAGATTTCCTTGTTGTATTTAAGCTTGAGTAACATTAACTAACTAGACCCAAATTCTATAATATTCTAGCTGTAATCTTAAAAGGCACTCCTACGGTGCTAGACATGAGTCTAGACTTACAGGAAACCTTGGCTCCCTCCACACTTATAAGTTCCTACCAGGTGATTCCAGGTTTCTAGTTGTTTTCTAAAGTAGTTTCTATAAAATAGGATACTGGTGGTTTATTGATTTATATTTTTTCAAGGAGATAAAGAAATTAAAATTATTCAACTGCACTTCTGGGCTGAGGAATGTCTATACTTGCTAAGAAATATATTCTATTAGTTTCCAGCCATTTCTATGTCTATTCCATTAGTTTCCAGCCAAGTCCTATTTCACCTGCATTGAAATCTAATGTTATAAGATAAAATATTTTCTATTAAATTTGATAGGTTTAAGTAAAACTACATGATATGCTTCCATCAAAGGAAATGAGTATCATTCTTCAAAGCAGAATCAATTTGCAATTGTGACAGATGATGTTTTTCAAATTTAGCTGCAATTCCACAATGATACTTTGATGTCTTTGAAGTAATTGACATAAGGAGTGATTCTCTATTTTAAACTGTGTTCTACTTTCAGTTTGGTAGTTCAAAACAGGAATACTCCAGAGGACCCCTACTTCTTGCAGTTTGTATTTTGCAAACTACTTTGCATCATAAATAAAAATGTGCTTTTTTAAAAAAAATTTGATTGTATAACTGGAAAAGTTTTCTAATTTTTATACTGGAAAAAAAAATCTGTTCTTCCCTTGAGATTTAGTGTATGTGATGAATAACATACCATATATATTATATCATACATTTTAATTGACAAATAGCTCTATTTCAAGCAAAAACAGATTAAATTTTGTTTTTATTATTTTTTTTAAACATTTCTGAAGACTAAAGAGTGAAGCTAAGCATTCTAATTTCTTCAGATATTTCTGGGGAATTCCAGTATGACATGATTATAAACTTGAAGGCAAAGTGACAGAAGAGAAATAAACTGGAATCAAAATAAGGGTCCAAGATCTTGGGGATGGGTATATACAACCACAATGAGTAAGATGTGCAATGCTTGGGGGATGGACACGCTTGAAGCTCTTACTTGAGGGGGGTGGGGGTGCATGGGCAATATATGTAACCTTAACACTTGTACCCCCATAATACGCTAAAATAAAAAAACAAATAAATAAATAAATAAAAATAATTTTAAAAAAAGATCTTGAGCCTCAGCTTTTGACTGAGGCATGAATACTAACAACCCACCAAATGAAATCTCAGAGGCAGGTGCAGCCATTGTATAGTGATAGCTTTAAAATCCTCCATCTCTGATTATTGTGGATTCCTGCCAAAATTTCCAGTGGTTCTCAGGAAAATAAAATAAGGACAGTGCAATAAACTTTTCATAAATATAGACATCTTTCATTTTAAAGAATTGTTCTTTAAATATTAGATTGCCCTTTCCCCAGGCCCTTGTCCTTATAAAATGTTTATTCTAGTTGGTAGTGGCATGTTTTTTGTTGTTGTTTTTAGCATTCATATAATACTTGGCAAAAGGAAAAGCTGTCGATCTTATGTTAGTCCCTATTTTTTTCTTTGAAACCATAATAAACACTGAAAATGTAGAATGAAAACCACTATTATTGAAAATATCAATGAGAACTTCAGTGAATTTCCTTTCCATCAAGAGCCCCAGGACCTAAAGATAGGCATGTACAACTCATTGCTTCAATATTTTTAGAAAGTAAGAAAAGTATGTCCTACCACCAGGTGGAGGACACGCTTGATGTTTTCGTAAGGCGGGGGGGGGGAGGAATGGCAGGAACAATATATGTAACCCTAACAATATTTGTACCCCCATAATATGATAAAATAAAATAAATTTTAAAAAAAAGTAAGTTACAGAAGTAGCAAGTTGGAGAGAGCTGGAAAGACTGCTCTAGCATCTAAGACATTTTTCTTTAAAGGATAAATACTATTTATGTCCTGGTTTCAATCAACCCCCAAGGAGATGGATTAAATACAAATGACTGCTGGAATACATATTATAATATAGTGCCTCAAAGTAGCATTAACATACCTGTCATGATTTAATTATTTCTTAATCTGAATCCATCTTACATTGCAGATTTACTCTACTTACCCAAACTGAATTGAGCATTATTTATTATATTTTATAAAATGTTTCTCGACTCTGTTATGCCTTTGCATAACCTTCAGTCAAAAGATTTAGTATCAAGTGCTCATGTCACTGAGAATTCCCATTTGTATTTGGCAGCATCACCCACTATTCCAGGATCACTGGAAGTGATGAGAAGCTAATACAGTTGAAAAGTATCCTATATGATCTGACACAGCCTTGAGAAAACACAAGGTGTCTGTGAGTTGTGTCCAGCATGAGTCCTGGTGCATTTGATGTTCTGTTGTTTTCTTTCTCCTTTCCCCTTCCAGTGAAATCAGATGAGTTACAGACAATCAAGAAAGAATTAACCCAGATCAAAACCAAAATTGACTCCTTGCTAGGGCGCCTGGACAAGATTGAGAAGCAGCAGAAGGCGGAGGCAGGTAAGTGAAAAGGACCCGTAGCCACAGACAGGTCGAAATTAAACCCATGGAACATTGTCAATCACTGAGACAGTACAGGGCCAGAGAGACTGGATGAGTTTAATAGAGATTAACACAGATATGTGAATGCAGTCTTTAAGCCGAGAGTTGCAACGATGGAATGTGATTTCTTTACTTACAGAGAACATGAACCAATTTTTCTAAGATTCATACTAAAAAAAAAACAAAAGTAAGTATTTTGTGGAATAACCAGTAATAGTAATAGTTGAATCACAATTGAAAGTTAATGTCTCAATATCATGTTAACCTTTCAGAAAATAAAATCAATTAATGGAATAATGCTATCATGCTAAAATAATATTCATATTTGGTAAAATTAGCTGCAGCAAAATTTAACAGGTTTCAAAAATTATTATTAGAGTGCCCAACTTCTGCCGTTACAAAATTTTGGTACACAATTTGGGGAACTTCAAGACCAACAGCATCCCCCTGGCCACCCACAGGCCAGGATATTTGATTATATTCTCTACAACCTAATGGCCTCTCTCCTTTGAATTATCAGACCTGAGCCAGCCTCACTGTAATACAATTCTAATGCTCTTTCCATATGGCGACAGGTATTTTTTAAATCATAGAATATGAGAAGTGGCCAGGCGCGGTGGCTCACGCCTGTAATCCTAGCACTTTGGGAGGCTGAAGCGGGAGGATTGCTTGAGCTCAGGAGTTCAAGACCAGCCTGAGCAAGAGCAAGACCCAATCTCTACTAAAAATAGAAAAAATTAGTCGGGCATGGTGGCACGTGCCTATAGGCCCAGCTACCTGGGGAGGCTGAAGCAGGAGGATTGCTTGAGCCCAGGAGTTTGAGGTTGCTGTGAGCTAGGCTGATGCCACAGCACTCTAGCCTGGGCAAGAGAGTGAGACTCTGTCTCAAAAAAAAAAAAAAGAATATGAGAACTGATATAAATTTAGAGCTAGGCCGTATTTTGAAAACTCTGTTCTTTAAGGCCTTAGATGTCTCAGAGGCCTCCTTGGAGTTGAGGTGAGGGTTGGGGCAGACCCTATAGATAGATAAATTCATGCCTCCTCCAAACCCAGCCCTTGCTCTGACCAATGTAGCTCTACCGGTATCTGTTTTAAATACAGGAATCCAGCATAAGATTTAATTTGCTGGAAGATTTTCCCTTAAAAAATAAATAGACAATACAATTGGAAAGCCATTGATAAATCCAACCTCCTCATTTTACAGATGAGAAAACAAAGGCTCAGGAAGGAAAACTGATTTTTCGATAGCCACATATCTAGCTAGTGATAGTCCTGGGTCTTAAACCCAGATGTTGTAAGTGAATCCAGTGCCCTGTCCAATTTATAGCCTCAAACTCAGGTTCTCCCCAGAGCCTGGGGCTAGCGTTTCTCTGGTGTGAAGCTGCCCAGGTTAACCCCTAACTGAAGAGAGCCCATTGAGACTTTGAGCCCCTGAGCTTCAACAGACGGGAGACTTGTTGACTCTTACCACTGGGGTGAGGACTCATCATCTGGTGGTGAGTTATCTAGGGCTCAAGAAGGAGCAGGACGCAGATGTGAGGTAGGGGTATAGCAGAACGGATGAGAGAAATGAAGTCTGGTTCATATCCTCGCATACCACATACACAGTTTTCTGACTTTTAAAATGAGGATAATAATGTCTACCTCACATTCTGAGAAATTAATAAAGTAGCACATGCAGATTACGTAGCAAAGAGTTAAAGACTTAATACTTGCAGCTAGCAGGGGTTGGTAGCAGCAAACACATATATAAGCACATGAACATGTCCTACTACTTTCCTACAGCCCATTTTTAAAAAACACAAGCCATGTACCAAGCACATAGTACATCCTAACACTTTGTAAGGTTAATGTAGATGAGAAATGACAGACTAAAATGGAATCATTTCTATTACAAATGTATTTTATATTCAGAAAAGGTACAAAGCCTATACTTCTTAATAAAGAAATTCAGATTTTAGAAAGTTTTTATATGCTGTCTATGGCACTAATCTAAAGTGCTGCTGTAACTGAAATATCCTATGATGTTGCCTAAGTCAATATTTCCCTTTGAGGAACTTCTGTGAAATTCATTATTATGTAAAACAACCCTTACAGCAAAGGACTTTGATAACCAATTTGCACTTCAGTTTAAAGGATTATGGAGAACTCATTTAAATATAAATCACCTCAAAGAGAAAAATGTGATCCTTATTCCATCATATTATACTTTTCAGTTTCCTGCAATGAATAATACCTTCCATATATCATCTTGTTACATTATCTATAAACGTAACACTAAAATCCAAAGCTTGCATCTTCTCATGAAAAGATGTCACTCTTTTTTGCTCATGTTTAAACTTTTCTAGTCATGAGACAGTTGCTGTTAAAATGCGATAGACTTAGTCCTTTGATATTTATGTCTTTCTTACTTTAACATATTATCAAGAAAATGAATTTATTTAATATATAACTTCATTCTCCTAGTAATTGTTTCCTGAATAGTATCTATATTTATGGACATAAAAGATGATCATTTCTATATTTTTCTATACTTTCTTTATAAAATCAGGGTTGTATGGAAAGAATTAATACTACATTATGGAAAGTAGAGTGAAGTACATTAAAATTTATGAAAAAATACTCAATGCCTCCTTATTAAATTTCAGAGGGCACTCATTTTTATGCTTTATTAGTTGAAAGCTAATTTGGTAACTAGCATTTACTCTTCATTATTACTGTTTTATACATCTCTCATTTCCGTTCACTATTAGTTATTTGATAATGAAAAATTCCAGCATAGAAGTAGTGGCAGGAAGGAGATGGAAGATTAGGAACAAAACATGGGACATGCCACACAACATGAGAACATATCCTGAGTTCAAGTTTCATCCTATCATTTTTTTGCTTTTTTGCTTTGGCATGAATTCCTAAGCTCTCAGTAGTAATCGCAATGAAATATAATTACATTAATTTGGATTCTCTATGCCTTAAGTTGCTTCTAATAGGCGTGTGTGTGTGTTGGGTCCTGTCTCTTTATTTCCTATTGTAAATTTCCTATAAACGAGATCATGTCTTCCCTCCCCTAACTTTACCGAGTACCATATACTATGCACCAGGTATGACTTAGGTAGTCATTTAAATTCTTCAGGTCTCAAGACTCTTAAATGTAAACTAGAGGAATGAATTATGGCCTCATACAAAGGCTCCAGCTTTTAAAATTATGATTACTGTGATTCAACCATGCATATTTTATTTCTTCTACTGAAATAACACAACTGCTTTGGGGATACAGTGACTATGTAGGTTATAGAAAATAAAAAATAACACTTAAAATCCGTTGAACCTAAAACTGTGCTTCCTAGATGATTCTTTTAAAAGAGCCCCATATACATTCATTGCCACATACACATAGCAAATATAGTGTGCACAGTAATGTTAAATGACCCAAAAGAGTGATAGGCATCAGAAGGAAAAGTAAAGACTGGGTATCATACAACAGGCACAATTATTCCATGGGTAACTATATTTTTAAAAAATTAAATTTCAAGCATAGACTTTCTGAAGTGAAAAAGCAATTAAACATTATGCAGGTCATCTATATTGTCACTGGTATGCCTGACACGATCAGTCAGTCTTGCTGGGACAATCCCAGTGATAACATTGACATGTGACAAGTCACAAACTGGAGTCTCATAACATAAATCCATTCTGCCCGTATGTTTGGAATAAGACATGAAAATTTTTTAATTAAGTTAATCTCTAAAAATTGAAAAATTATGCATAAATATAAAAATACATGACTTCTTTTGGAAAATTTGAACTTTCTGATACTGTTACTCAATCTATAAGTGACATGCACTTTTCAGTTGCTAATCTTTATGCAGCCAGTTCACACATTTATGTTGTAACTTGGTCCCTGTTCATATTTGTGTCTGAGACTTCTATTGTGTGTTCTCCTTACACTGAACCAAATGTATTTGCTTCCACTTGGTTCAGTTATCCTTTTTATGTCCTCTGAAACCAAGCTTACTGTCTATTCCCTTGTGATGTAGCAGTCAATTAAATATTTAAAGAGAGCTATAACATTTTCATCCCTCCAAAACCTTTGAACCAAGAGTCGATGTTAAGTGGCTCACAGATATTCACCTTAGCTATACTCAAATTTTAGTAATAGCATCTTTGAAGCCCCACCTTTTTTTTCTTTTTCTAGAGAAACATCAAGTCCTTCAGCTGCTTTTCATGTAACTTGTTTTGCATCTCGAACCATTGTCATCTCTTTTCTTCTGTGGTCATTCTATAGTTTGTCAGCACAGATTATGGCACTCAGAGTAGAAAAATTTGCTCCAGATATGATCTGACTACTACAGTGTACAACATGACTACTATTTCTGTTCTGAATACCTTACTGCTATCATAAACACTTCAGATTGAATTGGCAATGCTTCTGGTTACAGACAATGGATTAAACACATAAATTAAGCTTTGCTCCCTCCTGAAACTGCATTAAAATAAGGATAAGATTCTACAAAATGAAAACATCTGGGCCTAGAGAAAATGGGCACAACATTTTAGAAGCTGGACAGCAGATGGATAACGTAGAAATCTTAGCACAACCTAGAAATCTAAGTCCAATTTTAACCACAAACTCCCAAAAGACTGAGAATTCAAGGCATTGTATTCCTCTGGAAAAAGTGAGTATAAGTGGTTGAAAGTCTGCTTAGAAAACAGATTCCTATGTCCCCATTCACAATTATCCCTGCATCACTTTGGCAGAGGCTGGAGAAGTTTCCTCTAGAAAAGCTGAAACGGTGAATCTAAGGGTTGGTAGGCAACAAGCAAATTTGAAAGCAGTTGAAAGCAGGGGGAGAGGTAAAAGTTGACACAATTACTGTAGAAATGCCAAGTTTCTTCTCCCCACTATGCTGCCAGAGCACTAGCAGGACGCTAGAAGAGTCTTCAGTTGGGAAGAGCAGCCC